CCACAAGCGCTGAAACGAAGAGCGATTCCAACAAGAAAGCAGCGCCGCGCTTGTCTGATGTACGACCGCGCTACTTGGAGCCGCGCAAAGTACACGCACCAGCCGGCTTTGGCGGCGGTCCAGTGCGTAGCGCCACCAGTTCCAGCATACCGGCCACCGGCAAGGGCAAAGGCCGCCAGATCTCATCCAGTGATAGTTCGCGCACTTCCAGTCCGGCAGCGCGTAAGACTGCCAACCAGATTGGACGGAAATCCATTAACATGTCGCTTGACAGCTTGGCGTCGCCATCGCGGCGCGGCCGTAATATGCGTCTCAAAACCACCGACAATGCTGACCGTTTTTCGGATCGTGGCGGTGATTCGCTTGCGGACAGCATGAAAAGTTCAGTGATTACGAATAAGGCGATCTCGCAGGAGTCGCTCGCTAGCGTAAACAAGCTGTCGCGTTCGAATCCGCTCATTGGAAACAGCGGCAAACAGTTGGCAGCTGTCGGTGGCAAGTTGCAAAACGGCAAAGCGCCCAATGGCATTGTAAAGTCGGCTCGTGCCGCCAGCATCGGCAACAAGCCCCCAAAGCATTTGCAACAGCAAAATATAAAATCAACCGGTTCGAGCCCATCATCGGTGACTACAACCAAATCAGCGGCTAGTCGTCTGTCCTCTGTATCATCCACACACTCATCGCGCGATATGTTCAAGAATCGTTCGATATCGATGCCGGGCCAAACGTCGGCACAGGGCACAGCTAGCGCACAACAGGGAAGTGGTGGCGCGCGTCACAGCTTCCTGTCAGCCAAATCGCGTGAGATACTCGCTCGGCGCGCCGAGAAAAACAAATTACAACAGTTGCAACAAGCCGCCAATAGCTCCGGTGATGAACGGAGCAACAATACAAACGCCGTCCCCGCACCCACCAAAAACCAACAAAAACAACAACAACAACAAAACAACCACCATCAGCACACCGGACCAATGCGTTCCGCTTCACACACCGCCGTCACAGCGACGGCAAATGCCAACTACATACGCAATTCGCTGCCTTCCAATATACCCACACGCCGGCCCAACTCGCTGCAACTAAAGAAATCCACAAATCACATACAAGTGAGCAACAAAAACCATAGCAACAACAATAGTGCAAATCAGATGGTAAATTTGAATAATAAAAATAAAATCATTAACGCCACCAATGGTGTGTTGAAGGCAGCGCATGCGGTCAAGCAGAAAATCGAATTGTTCATCGATACGTCCACGTCAGCGACTGGTCGCGGCGGTGGCGGTGGCAACGGTGTCGTCAAGCCGACATCACCACCATCGCAACAAGCCATTGAGCAGCAGCAGCAGCCACGTGTCGAAACGAAATTGGAGCGTTCGAGTACTTTTTGTAAGGAGACTTCCGATATGGATATCAACGAATTGCAAATTATTGAGTAGAGGGAGGAGAGGAGTGCAATTCAGCGAGAACTTAACCAGCATTAAGGTGGGAGATTTCCTAACTGGAAATGTTAAAAAAAAGTGCTTAAGTCCGACTTTGTGAGTTTCTATAAAATTTAGCTTAAACAAGTTTATTTCTTAAATTAGACACAGAAGTATCACAAAATGCTATTTGGTGTAGTGATTAAAAATAAGTAATTAAAAATCTTTCCATTTCATATTTTTTTCTTTAAGTCAACTTAAGCACTTCTTTATGCTATGCTATATTATTTTTTGTTACGTTCAGTCATGTTAAGCTATACTATGTTAGGCAATGCCACATATCAATAAAAACTTATCAACAAAATTTAATCTCATTTCCCAGCTCACCACAAGAGGGAGGATATTGCTGCAACAAAAACTTGATGGAGGATACTTCCGGACTCTGAAAGCTTTGAGCGAAATAACCACTCTAGTCAATAAGAAAGTAAAATGACTGTTAATGGACAGATGCAACATTGAAAATCGTTAATAACGAAATTAAAGAAAAAACTATAATTGTCAATAATCTCAAATTTTAGTAGATGAACCTCGAAACAGTAATTAAATCAAAGCAGTAAACAGTTGTAGGCGCGAATAGCAAAGAAAAAAATATCCATATACAGGCATACACACATGGCATACTATCTACGTACATATACATATAAACATAAAAAATAGTAGTTTGTTGCAAACAAAACGCGTTATTTACAATACAAAAAAAAATAATCATATAAATACATAGTAGCGTTTGCCGCTGCAAAAATTCCTCCTCCTCGTGCAAAAAGTCCCTTTGAAAAATAAAATGCAAATAGCTGAGTAAACACAGCGGTTAGCATGAAAATTTAGAAAATTAAAAATGTTTTCTAAAGAATATAGGCACTTGATTGCAGTCTATGCCCCCGTAGATTTTGTCGAAAATCAAAAGCAAATATCGACCGTTCGAAAAGCATGTTTTAGAAGTATAGATTGAATGCGTACTTTCGTGATATTATTTACAAATAAATGCTTCGTTTCTTTTTTGTAGAAAGGGCAGTCCAATATATAGTATGCATACATACAAGCCACTTAAATGTATGCTTTAAGTTCTTTAATTTAAGCGTAAGCAACAACTCTCTTTTTTTTTTGCCTACCGCTGCGCTTACTTCTTCAACAAACAAGTCTTCTAAATACCAAAAATAATTATTAAATTTTTGCTCATAGCGTGCAATTCTTGTTTTATTTACCCAATTTGTTTGTGCCACGAAAAATAAAGAAACGCTTAAAGCTGTTTAAATTAGTTCATGCAATGCAAGTGGTGTTGAAAAGTAATAGCAAATACATATATTTTGATAGCGTAAAATATGTGAACAAATGCATATGTACTTGGCATTTTACATTTTACATCAATGCAATTCGATTTTGTTGAAATACAAACAGTTTTTTTTTTTTGAAATATTGATGATCTTCATTTATTTCGAATGCAATATGGCTTTTTTAAGCATTTAAACGCATAGTATACTCGTATTTACATTGAATTATGTGTGTTTACCTCTAATCTAGTTTATAATCTGTATCTGCATCTTGTATAATATTAAATGCATTGGGTTTTATACTCACTCCCAAAGCATATGCGTACATACGTATATGTACATCAGCATATATGTATGTACATACGTATATGTAAAAGCACTTATCTTCGTAAGCTCAACATAATTTTTTACACGGATACTGCGAGAATGACTTAATTTTACAAAGTACAGCAAAACATGGAATTTTAGTTTTAAGCAGTTAGATATTATATTTTTATTGAGTTTCTGAACTTATTTGAACGCTTTTTTTTTTTTTTTTTTGAATATGTCAGTTGATTCACAATTGAATCTATGTGCAAGGATATTGATATATTGGCTGGCTGCAGAATAGCGAAAATTAAGAATTTCACAAATTTATATGTGTGTACGTTACTTGTATTATGCTATGAAATATATGTATGTACATTAATATTAAAATTAATAACATAAAATGTTTTTGCTTTTTTCAATGAAATACAAATATTGCAAGAAAAACATGAAATGTATTAATAAAACTTTAAAATAACAAATTACATATTAACATTCGTTTTTTTATTTCAATTATGCTCACGAGATGTTACAGATTGCTTGTAAGTACCGTTAATAAAAAAAAAAAATAGTGCGCTATAGCAATAATACAGGCAGGTTCTACAATTCTCACTTTGAATTAAAATTTAATGGGGTTCGAAATTCTCTCGGGAAGTGAATTGCAGAACCTGCCTGATAACCTAAGTTTAGTTTAAATATATGGGTAAAAATTTTAAATGAAAATATAGAGCACGTATGCTCAACTTATAGCCCGTTTTCAGCTGACTTCAACACGCGTAAAAATCTGATTCCAAGTATCTTGTCGTATTTCGAAATACGCAGTACGACCAACAGTGTACATTGTGGTTATTCATTTCGCTTTCGCCGCTGCTTCAAATATGTTATCGTATAAGTTTCTTATGAGCTCAACAATGTCTGTGCAAGCTTAATGACTGATAAACACAGCAATAGTGTATGTAAACAATGCTGTTGTAGGCGGAAATGCATATTGCTCATTCATATACTAAATATGACACAAATATTTCAACCACCATCGTAGCATAAACCGCCTCCCCCTAAAAGCTGCTAACACATAAACAAAAGCCGCCCAATGTGTGCATGCCTTATTTTTTACCAGCACCAGCAGCCCCTCCCCAATAGGCCCGCTGTTATTGCTTTCGTGATTCCAAATTCGACTGTACCCAGGCATTGAACACATTGCGACAGTGAATTACAACGCACTCATTACTACAATATTCATCTTCCCAATCGGGATTTATAATAGCGCGTTTATTACAGTTCTCACGGGTACATTTTTGCACTGCACCAGCATCACTAAGCAATTGTATTTGGGGCTGCGTTGGTGCATTAGCTGTGGTTGTGGTGCTAGTGGCGGTATTGGTGGCGATTTGTGTCGGTGCTTGAGCCTGCAACTGTGGCTGAGTTGCATTTGCCACTACGTCGTTATTGGTTGTAACATTGTTGTAATTTGCATTACTATTGCCATCCGTATTGAAACGCGAAATTGTAAAGACAGCCGGTTTGGTCTGCAGAGCGGGCGTCGGTGTTGCATTTACACTTGTAGTCAATTGTTGCTGTTGCAGTTGCTGTTGCTGTTGCTGCTGTTGTTGCTGTTCCTCCTGCTGCTGCTGATATATGCGCATTTGTTTTATATACTCATTCATAGCTGCTTCATGTTTCTTGCTGTACACATTCTTATGGCTAGCATCCAGTGCCTCCCACATTGACAATACGATTCTTGATAGCTCCTGAAAAGTACAGTTTGGATTTTGTTGTTTTATTGCGCTTACAGTGTCGCGAAAGAAGAGTCCATATGCCGATAGCGGTTTGGCGGGCTCATTGGCGTTTGTCGCAGTTGGGGTTAGCTGCTTGCGTGCTGCAAGTGTGGCTGTTGGTGTGGGTTGAGCGCTTTTCGGGGGAGATACTGCATACGCAGTATTCGCGAAAGATTCATCATTGGCGCTGTGGTACTCGTCCGTAGACACATCCATGTTGCGAATTCTCTTTGACTGGAAAATAGCAATAAAGATAAAAAAATAAAAATAAAGCAGTGTTCAATTCGGAATCAAAATAAGTATTTTAGTATTCCCTTTACTAGCTGATACACTCACTAAAAGCTTCTTCATCTGCTATTTAGACTGACTATTGTCAACGCAAATGCCCTCTTGCTAAGCAAACTAATATTAAACACAATGTGTCGGCCACAGCGCTATGACAGCGTCATTTCAATAAAAACTGATTTGCGATAAGGCCCCAGTCCCCACACATATGTATATACACATATGCAGAGCTGTAAAACTAATGCGTGTGCTACACATATGTATGTATATAATTGCAATTGGATATAATCGTCATGCGGTTTCCGCGCCGGCTAATAGCTAATAAACATATATATTAAAAATCGACTTCAATATTAATGTTATGCACAATGGATGTATGGCAATTGGATGTAGAAACATTGGGAGCCTACTACCTAAAATATTCTGTCCCCTCACACCTTAGGCTCCACCTAAGTCTCATTGATTTTAAAGTACAATTGATTATCCATTGTAATCGAATGCTTTAACGTTGTGTACGTACATATAAATTGTTATGTATGCGCTTATAGCAATAATTACCTAATTCGTATTACATTTCAATTAAAATAGTAGGTGCATTGTGTTTGCACTCGTAGTTTAATTCGGTCCTGTCGGTATTTTATAATGCACATGTTGCTGAATTATACCTGAGCAAGGCATATTAGTTATAATTTGCACAACGCCGTCTGCTGTGATTTTAACAATTTATAATCAAAAAAATACATTTGCCGTGGCGCTGTTTTTAAGCTCCTCGCTAAGCAATTCCTTCGTCACATTGTGGTAAGATTTTATACGTTTTTACTGCACAAGGTATACATACATATGTATATTCAATTAAATACACACCTCTAACGGCTGCGGCGGAAAAACTCCTGCTTTCTGTTGTTGATGTGTGGATTTATTTGGCACGGTGGAACTTCCTGCACCACCTTGAACGCTAGCACAAGTAGTTCTGCAATCGGTTTCGCTGTCTGGCAAATCAAATACTATCTCGTCTCCGAATGATGGTGTATGGAACTGCGCATTCATTCTCTCCCGTCTTGCGCTGATTATCGTTGCTATGTTAATTGTTTATTTTTTAACAAAGCAACAAATATACATGAACAATGCCTTGGATCCGAAGATATATATTTTTCAATGGACATCAGAAAAAACAGACAAATGTGGAAATGTGGAAAATGGCTGACAGCTAAATTTGACAGCTGGCAGCCTTGCCATATTGCTCAAAAGTTAAGTGCGCTGCCGTGTCGAAAATTTTACGCAAAGAACGTAAATGTACAAAGATCGTAAATGTACATTTACATGACATGAACCCCCAGTTGTACTCTGACCACTTCCGCCCAGGTGATGAAAAATGTTTCCGAGGATTTCATAGGGGTGAGAGTCACTCGTCATCAATTTCATTGTCGGACGCCATTATGGAGCAATTGTCAGCATGTGTATGAGGTATTGGTGGTTCGAAATGTAAAAATTAAACAGACCGGGGAAAGGACACCTCTCTCTGGAAACCTTTAATTCATTTTTCATGGCCTCGTCATTTTATCTTTTTTCATGGCCTCGTCATTTTATCTTGAAAAATAACTGACGAATGTCGACCACTCAGATAATTCGCAGACCACCGTTTGAGTTCCTGTGGGACAGCAGAAGCCTCACTCTCTTTTAGTAGCATGGAGTGGCTGGCGGTGTCAAACACATTTGACAGATCCAGCGCTATCAGAATTGTTCTCCAGAGGCTAGTTCTGTTAAGGGCACTGTTATCCGAGAGTTTATGGCGTTAAGTGCTGTGGATGTGCTGTGCTTTTTACGGAAGCCATGCTGGTGCCTCGGCGGGGGGGCAGGTGATACGTAAAGTAGGTGAGTATCAAGGCCTGTAGGGTCTTCGCTCCCGGGGAAATAAGAGTTATAGGCCTATACGAGTCTCTCTATTTTCCACACTTCGGGAATGATAAAGAGTACCATTGAGGACCTTTGTGAGGTAGTCTACTCCCACTGAATCCAATTTTTCGAGGAAGCGGGAGGGAGTATGTGTTTCGGGTTTGAGCAGCCTTCTGACCACTCGACGTTTGGCTTTGTGTACCGCATGATGCAGCGTAAACTTCCGGCTTAAATAGCTTGCACATCGCTTCGGGTCCGACGAACCCGGTTATCGAAAGATATTTCCACTTTATCGTCTCGTGTCGTGGGTTGGACAATGACCTTATGGTGGACCAAACTTTCTAGCCCCAGAGGCTAAATTTCAAGTCTTCAGGTACGCCTCACTTTTTTCTCTTGTGTTGGTTTACCAGTTGCCGCATCTCCGATTTGAGATGCCAGATGCTTGGCCGGGATCGACCTAACGAAGGTGGGTACGCTCTTCTGGTAGAATAGCCGCTTCAGCTGGGAAATTTGGCCGGGTTTCCGCAATAAATCCAGCGGAAATAAATTGGCAGCAACAGCAGTGATAAATTTGCTAAACCTTTACCATTACCTCTCTGGCGATTGCGATGTTGCACACTGTAGCCGGCGCAGCTCAACCTTCTCGACCTTGACCTGCAGTCCGTTGCAATTGAAGTGTAGTATCTTCATGTGCCTTGGGAGACTGATCGTGATAAGTTAGAGCTGCTTTGGGGTGTGGGGGTATTGGAGTCATGTTGGTCGGGTGTGCTCCGGTGAGCCGTGGAGGAACTTGGGTGTTTGGAGGCAGAATTTGCTGTATGGCTTGAGCCACATGGGGCCACAGATGATTCGGTCCTCTCCCTATGTGTTCTAAGACCTGAGCAAGTCTTTAAGTAACTCCATCCGTTGCAGGTGTTGAACTTAACTAAACTAGAGTTTGGGCATAGTTTTCTCCGGCATATGCAGCGGAAATAAGTTTCTAGTTCGGGGTTGCAGAGCAGCCTTGCTGCTAGGTGTTGCCCTATGGACGAATAACTATTGGGAGATTTCACTGATCTGAACAGGGTTATATTGTTTTTCCGCGATTGGTCGGGTAAAACCCGAATCCTTCCAGTACGTAGAAACGGTTGGCGTAAGAATGGCTTACCGTTCCTTCATCAGGGGTACTAGCTGTTGCCAACGCGCAAAGGCCCGTAAGTCTTCCGCAGAATCATTCATTTAAATTTTTTGTGTTTAGAAATTTATTTTATTTTTCTTTTTTTTTAATTTATTTATTTTTTTAAGTTTTTTTAGTGTGATTTAATTTTAGAAAATTTGTTTTTATTTTTGTAATTATTTAAATTTAGACATTTTGTTTTAAAAAGAAATATATATTTTTAAATTTTATATAATTTTTGAGGAATTATTTAGTTTTTATTTCTATTTTTTTTTTGTTATTTAATTTTCGTTTAATTTTTACACTATATTATTTCAAAAAGAAAATTTTATTTATTAGAAAATTACTTTTTTAATTTCAGTTCATTTCTAGGAGCTTATTTCGTTTATATTTTCTTTTTTAATTTATTTATATATGTACATATATTTTTTAAATTTAATTTTATTTTAATTAAAAATTTTTTTAAGAAGAATATATTTTTTTAATGTTATATAATTTTTGAAGAATTATTTAATTTTTTTATCTTTTATTTTATTTATTTTTTATTTAGTTTTCGCCAAATTTTTAGAATGTATTATTTCAAAAAGAAAATTTTCAGCCTCATTGCGAGAGTTGTGTCCAATGCAAGTCGTTTTTCGAGAGTCGAACCGTATATAAAATTTCATGTCATTGTCTAAAATTTCGACTCGACAAGTGTATTAAAATGGGAAAACTTGGCAGCACTGCATAGTTTTCGACGATTTTCTTCGGTACTTATTTCAGCACGACAGTAGACAATGCCAATGTTGTCGAGTCGTACAATTTAGCGTAATTTACGACTTACGAAATGAGGCTGTTTATTTTTTAGAAAATTCTAGGAGCTTATTTCATTTATATTTTCTTTTTTAAATTATTTGTACATATGTACATACCTTTTTAAATAAAATTTTTTTTATTTAAAAATTTTTTTCTAAAAACAAAATATATATATTTTTTCTTTTACGATTTTTTAATTTAATTTTCTTATTGGTAAAAGACAAACAGAAAAACGTTAAGACCTTCTCGTTAGCAGATCTTCCGAAAGGCAGAAAAAATCTTTCAAGATATATAGTTGCCAGAATTGACAATGGCCTCACGTAAGACTCTTGTCTTTCGAAAGACCGGGGTGAGTTGAAAAGCAGTTGCCAAAAATGCCCAGTAAATTCATATTCTACAGAAAGAAGAAAAAAAGCGTATCTATGTTTAAACGTATTTAGTTACATACATACACATATCATGAAGATGTGGAGATTTATTTATATATATTACTCAATAGTCATGTAAGATTTTAAATCAAGTTCTTAGAGTTAGGCTTATCCTCCTATAAATTTAATTAATAATAATTTATAGTATCTACATTAATTTCTATCGGATTAAAGATATTTTTAACAAAGTATTTAAAACGTTCAATTTAACGCACTAGATATTCCGTTACAAGTTATATTCACCAAAATTTACTTTTTCATCTTACCTAATAAAATAAAAATAATAATTTTTCTCATAACAACCAACTTTTATGTACACTTTCATAGGCGTATTCATATTTTTATCACATTTTTTAATAAATATTTTATAGAATTTTTAGACAACGAAATTTGGTCCATTATTTTCATATTATTGGTTAAAGTCATACTTGCATATGTATGTTACAACTTTAACCCTTAAATATACGTAAAAAATATTTTCTAATAAATGTATATATATATAAATTTAAAAGGCACAAAAACATCCTTTGCACGCCCAGTTTTGTTAAAACCAATTTATGACCACGACGAACGCCTTGAGATACTATCCTAACTATATGTAGTATCTTCACAAAAATTGATCACCTACTTGCGCTTCTGCGACTCGAGATATGTGGCTGTGAATGTGAGCAGCCGTTGGCGTTGCTTCAAATTGCGTGCGCGCACATGCGCTGAATTCACCTCTTCCGTATAACTGCCTGGGAACCAACCGATAACGCCATCGCGTATGCGCTCACCCTGATACCAGCCTAGAAAGGGGAAACCGTTAAAAATAAATTCATTAGATTAACTATAATTCCATTCCCACTTACCGTCTGGCAATTTCCGCGTCACATTCACCACATCACCCACCTCCAGGCTCAGCGCGTCTGGTTCTCTCGTCTCGTATGCGTGCTTCGTTATCACCTGCGGACAATCCCAGGGCGCGTAAAGCTTTTCGCCAGGCGTCTCTGGCTCGGGTGGTCGAACTGCTTGCAACCAACGTTCCTGTTCGGAAACTGATGGGCAAGAAAGGACCTGTCGAACACACACAAAAAGGTTTATATGCAATTAATGATTTTAATGCTCTGGCGTCAGCGACTTACTAGCTCCACAGTCTTGCGTTCGTGATTCTCCAGCAAGGTCATCAGTATTAGATTTTTGTGCGTCTGGCTAATGTCCCGCAGATCACCGGAGGAGATGGTCAACATGTTGCGTGGGCAATAGTCGAAGACTGCGAATTGTTCCTCGCCTTTGCGCTTCGTTAGTACGAGCAGATCGGAGAAGAGGAAGGCATATATTGCCACTTTGGAGAACTTTTTGCCAAACGTAAGTTTAATATCGTCCCCACGCCAAATGAAATGCGTCAACTCACCACGCTTCACTAGGAACCGTGGCTTTGAACCGGATGCAGGTATACCCATTGGCGCTATAGCTAATGCGCGTATCGTTGAAGGAAATTCCAGCTGTCGCGCTATACGTTCGATCTCGTACGCCTGCTCACAGCGATTAGCGGCTTCATTGCACTGTGTCACAATCTTATTCATAATGGCTAGCGTCATCTTCCAGTTTTCGTATTCGTCATCGTTGGGGCTGACTTTGCTGAAAACGGCGTCAATGAGTAGCGGAAGACGGGTGATACGTTGCATTGGCAGCATAAGAAAAGAATGCAGATTTAGGCCACAGCAGGTTGGACTCGTTTCAAGGAGATGCAGATTTTGCGCAAAAATGCCGCGACTCTCCTTCAGTCGTCGCAATGTTCTATCCATACGACCTTGGTGTTCGCAAAATGAGATGTACACATGGAAATATTTTTCAGCGACGGCGAAGATGCGTCTACTCAAACCGATGAGCATAATGTTATCTTGCCAACAGGATTCCATTGCAGTGAGCAGTTTCTCGGAGCATTCATGCACGGGCACAATGTAGGCAAACAAAGCTTTGCGATCACGCGCGCTCACCACATTTGTGTCGCGAAAGATAGGATGATTCATAAAATGACTACGCAGCAGGTTCAGCGATTTCAGATAACTCGCTTCGGAGGTGATAATTTCGAATTTCGCCTCCTGCAGGCTGCGCTCACGCGGCGTCAAAGTGGCTGCGAATGGCAATGAAGTTAGTTAGCTTCATTGAATGCACAAATAGTAATACATCACTCACCCAAAATACACGAACTGATAACCTCCGGTATCTCGCTCCATAACGTACGTGATGGCCCGTTCTTTGGCTCGATTAGCTGGAAAGCGCTGGGTCGTTGATGTTTTTGAATACTCGCGCGCGCATCGCTAGTCGTGCCATTCTGCCCGATCTCCTCATAACCATCCGTCGAGCTGTCATGTCCCTCCATGTCGCGCGTTATAGACTGCAAATAGCGATTGATATTTTAATACAAAAATGGTAGGCTTATTCAACCAACTTACCTCCAGTTTAGCGGCGCTGTAGATCTGATAGAGCGGCTCATTCTGGAACATGCTGTGTGGCAGATCATCGCCTAGCGTGCCTTCATTTCCAGTTGAAACACCTGAACTGCCGCTCGAGCTGGCCACAGATACGCCACTGGTCTGATACAAACCCGCTTCGGTGTACCAAGAATTTCCATTGAAAATCGAGGAACCACTCTGACTCGTCTTACTATCGTTCAACGAAATCTCCGACTCCTGCAGCATACCGGTTGTGCCATTTTTGAAGACGCCACACTCGGCATACCAAGACGTGGTCGAAGAAGCGACGGGTGGCGGCGGTGGTGGATCCTGCGGACGTATACCAATCGTGGTGCGCCGCCGCTGTGAGTTAGACGTCTTCGCCTCCTTTTTCGCCTTACGCGCAACCGTAGAGAATTTTTGTGAATCGGGTGTAGGTATTATGGGTGCCGTGGGAAGATCTCCGGACGAGGCTTTCTCAGAAAAACCTGAATCTAACTCGCCCGAACCACCGTAGGTGGGATCTTCAATGTAAAATGTGCTACGTGTAGGCGCCAACGTCGATAAATTTTTCATATCAAAAGTGGAACCGACTAGACTTTTTCGCAAACGTGACTTGAAACTCTTAACCGACTTGGACTTGGAACGCAATGTGGTGCTGGTGTTAGACGTGTCGGCTCTGACATCCGTTGGACTATTTAAATGTTTTTCCGAAGCGCTAAGCTGTTTGCCCTCTGCGGCGATCGCGGGTGGACTATGGAACTCGGTGTTTTCATATAGATCTTGATCTTGTGAGGGTGTGGTCGTCTTTTTTACATCTTTTTGTGTCTTGGATTTAGTCTTTGGTGTATTTTCATAAATATTACCACTCACATAGAATTGGGTGGAGTTTTCGTAGAGCTTTTGCTGACTGTCGCCGTACTTAGAATGTGCGCCCGTGGACTTCTTACTAGAGATGAAATTCTTGAGCTTGCGTACAATGGCGTATACTTGATTTGTGGCAGGGGGTGGATCAGGAAGTTTCACATTGCGTATATCCACGCCGCTGTCATGCTGTTGGGGAAGAGAAAAACGACGGATTAGTTATAGAGCAAAGAAATAGTGACAGTGGAGGAATTTTACTGGAATTGAAAAAACAAGTTTTTAGGCAAGTGATACAACAAAGTTAGGAGAGTAGCGGGTACGCTGCTGATACTGTCCTTGTGCATAATTCATGGAGTTCACACATATAATTGTGTCTACTCACATTCTTTGTATTCTCATCCACCTCATAGATATCATCGGTATCCGTGTCGAAGGAGTCGTAATCGTCGGATGTCGCTAAAGTGCCCAGACCATGCATGGAAGCCGAGTATTGTTTACCACGCTGCGAGCCATTCTTCGCCAGATAGGGTAAGTCTTGACTGAACCGCAGTTGGTTATTCGAGCCTTGCGCTGGCAGCGTGGAGTGGCGTTTATTTCCCAAAGGCGACAGTGTCTCATAATAGTGATCGGAGTCATCTGCATGAAAGAAGAGAAAGAAATAAAAAAAAAAAACGTTATGCTGATTTTGTTAAAAAGTATATTATTAGACAATCCTAAAAAATTAAAATTTTATTTTCTTATTTGTAGCATAAACCTCATTTGTGGAACCAACCTATAAAGGTGCTCACAGTCATCGTTTGACGCGCGCCATCTGCACAGCGCGCCTCATCAACGGCGGTGGCGCGCACAAACGAAAGGCGACCGCAACGATCTCTCCGCCTGATCGCTTCCTGCTCAGCTTCTGCCACTGTATTTTGATATATAGGTTCACTGATGTCATTATGCTCGCTAATGGTGCTATTCAGATACAACTGACTGGCTGGACAAGTAATGTAAACTTCACCGACAGCACGTGGTCGACGCTTACGCGGCAGCGTGCGCAATGTATTGCAATTGCTTTCACTCTGGCTG